AAAAAAAAAAAAGAGAACTAAAAATGGACCCATCAGTGAGTGACTCAGGAAACAGATGAGGCCCCAGCCGAGCAGTCCGGAGAAAACCCAGTGATGGGCTTCCTCTGGGTCCCGTCCCCAACCTCCGCAGGAAGCTCCTCCTTCCTGCCACCTTGCTCCATTTAGGCACTCACAATCCTCTTGAAGTTCTTCTGCCACATGGCAACCTGGTGCAGGATGTCCAGCCTGCGGGAGGAAGGACACATGAGAAGCCCAACTCTGCTTCAAAAGCCTCCACCTCCAATATAGGAAAACCCAGGATTCTCCCTTCCGCCTCCGGGGCCCTGTGTGATTTGCTTCTGCCCCTCACTGACCCCATCTTGAAATTCTGCCTCAAGACCTTGGCACTGGCTCTTCCCTCTGTCTGAAACACTGTCCTGGATGGTTCCTTCTCAGCCTACAGGTGTCAGCCCCGATAACTGCTGAGAGGCGCTTCCTAAAGAAAGAGCCAACTTGACCAGGTGCAGTGGCTCATGCCTGTAATCCTGGCACTTTGGGAGGCCAAGGCAGGTGGATCACTTGTGGCCATGAGTTTAAGACCAGCCTGGGCAACATGGAGAAGCGATGTCTCTCCAAAATATACAAAAATTAGCTGGGCACAGTGGTACATATCTGTCATTCCAGCTACGCGGGAGGCTGAGGCATGAGAATTACTAGAACCCAGGAGGCAGAGGTTGAAGTGAGCCGAGAGCGAGCGTTGCCACTGCACTCCAGCCTGGGCGACAAGAGCCAAACTTTGTCTCAAAAAAAAAAAAAAAAAAAACACGCCACCCCTTCTTCCTTGTTTTTCCTACCATTACTTTTTTCCTGCTATTACGCTTGACTTATTGCCACCTTCTTCGGGGACTGGTTTGCCTCTCTAGTTCTATACCATTCCATACAGTCACATACTCAACATCTAAAACGTGCCCAGTGCTCCATGCTAAAATGTGATTTTGACATAGTTTTAAATACAGGTATTTAAATGTATTTATATTATTGAAATCAATTTCACCTGTTTTTTTTTTTGGGTTTTTTTTTTTTTGAGACGGAGTCCATCTCTGTTGCCCAGGCTGGAGTGCAGTGGTATGATCTCGGCTCACTGCAACCTCTATCTCCCCGGGTGCAAGTGATTCTCATGCCTCAGCCTCCAGAGTAGCTGGGACTACAGGCTTGCACTATGATGTCAGGCTAATGTTTGTATTTTTAGTAGAGACGGGGTTTCACCATGTTGGCCAGGCTGGTGTCCAACTCCTGGCTTTAAGTGATCCGCCCGCCTCGGCCTCCCAATGTGCTGGGATCACAGAGGTGAGCCACAGTACGCAGCCCCTACATTTTCTTTCCTTATTTTTTTTGAGACGGAGTCTCGCTTTGTCGCCCAGGCTGGAGTGCAGTGGCACGATCTTGGCTCACTGCAAGCTCCGCCTCCTGGGTTCATGCCACTCTCCTGCCTCAGCCTCCCGAGTAGCTGGGACTACAGGCGCCCACCACCACGCTCGGCTAATTTTTGTATTTTTAGTAGAGACAGGGTTTCACCGTGTTAGCCAGGATGGTCTCGATCTCCTGACCTCGTGATCCACCCGCCTCGGCCTCCCA